TTCTTTTTCCTCTGTCTGAGCCTCGCTGCGGTGCGTCTGACCTCTGACCTCAACTCAAACCTGTCTTACCATGGCCGAGATGATGTTCCTCCCCCCTCACCAGCTAATGACAGTGATAAAGAAGACAAAGAAGAGATCTGCTGATCCTAATTTTCTGACACCAGGAACTGTCATTGAGCAACTACTGCATGGAGTCCTGCTGGACATTTGGACTGAAACTACATTCCTGTGTTTGGATGCAACTGAACTCTTACAACCTCCGCTGGTCTTCTCCCTGACATCAGTCTGGAAAAGGAAGGATAATGTGCTTCAGAGACAACAAACTGAACTGTTTGACCCTTGTTTCATTTGTGGACAGCATGGACATTGAGTGAGGGACAGTCTGGGCAACTCAAAGATCCAATACAGAACCAGTTGGACTGACAGGAAACTGCAGAGAGAGAGGAGGAGAGGACCAGGCTGCAGCGACGCCAGCAGCAGGAGGAGGACGGAGAAGTGAGCTCATCCAAGATATGTTTTATACACATACACAACTGTTATAAACTGCTACTGCAATGAAGACTTGCTTGCTTTATAACCCTGTTCACATATTATCTATCCAGAAAATAAAGTCTTAACGGCTTTTTTGTTCAATGATAGACAAATTCTCTCAGTTTGTCCCTTTTAACTCTGAGTCCTGAACAGCAGGGCCACTGCTAAGGATCCTCTTAGGGTCCATGAGCCACAGGTTGGGAAACCGTGAAGAGAAAACTGCAATCGCTAAAAGATCAGCAAAGAACTAATGGAAATTATGCCACTAAATTACACCAGCTAAAAATGATCAAAGATTCTAAGCTAATAATTATTTACAAAAGTTTTCGTTTTCTTTTTTTAGGACTATCTTGATAATACATGCTAGAGTGGATTTAAAATCAAATATCTCTGAATGTTAAAATAAATAAATAAGAAATAAATGAAATAATATTAATTGCAGTTAAATTGAACAGTTATGAATCTACATTTTATTGAAATAGGTGAAGTGTTTAAGCAGCAGGACATTCAGTTGTGGCTGGTTTCCAACATGTCTGAGATAGCTCTTAAAATGTATACATTTCTTAAAAGAAGATTTTGACAACTAAAGATAAATATTAACACATTGAAATGTTGTTGACAAATAAAAGAAAATTCTTGAAGCTTCGGAAAATTGTATAACCATTTGAGCAAAGGAAGACAATGGAAGCAGACTATAAATTTGTGACTAAAAAATCTGATTAATTTTCATGTTTTTGTTTGTGTCGCATCACGTTGATGGAAATGAGTGTGATTATGGGAACAAACAGATTGCACTCAAGAACTGAGTAACTGATCAAATTATTATTTAAATCATAAAAATTACATTGTCAACTGGTCTGAAATGCAAGGTTAAATTAAATTGTTATATTTTATCTAACTAGTTACTCCAAATTGATGTTTTTGAATTAACATAATGTTTTCTAGATAACGCTTAAAACCTTTAATCCAAGGTTGATTAATTGATGATCATTAAATTCATAAAGGAATATTGAATTAGAGGATTTGAGATTTTGGCTTAATTTCAGAATGGTAATTTTCATGTAAAAGGGTAATAACATTGTTCTGCAGCAGAGCCAACTCTGGGTTGTGCCTTCTGTCAGGAGTAAAACAAAAGTGCTTCACCTTGATGAATTTGATAACATCCATATGTAAGATCTTTAACAAAATGCCTCTTTGCTAACAGCTATCCTTCAAGCAATATAACTGTTAGCTAAAACTAGCAGGGTGCAAAATGAATGATGAGGAAATTTTTCAAGTCAATAACAAACCAGTTCTCCCAAAGTCTTATCTAAAGCAGCCGCAATTGTGGCACAAGGGCGATGCCATGTGTCAACAGGGGGAATAGTGGGGATAATACTACAGTATTTAACAACATATGGACTAAATTCTTATCTAAAAATTTTTGTTCTGCATAGTTTGTGTTAGACACAATCCACAAGGGAACACAAGGCCAAAAAGAGGAAGTTTCCCAAAGCCTTCTTATCCATTCCAAACAATGCAAACAAATATTGTTTGGTAATTATTGATGCTTTTTCTAAATGGGTTGAAATAGTTCTAGCAAAGCATCCAGATGCTTTGACAGTAGCTAAAGCTATGTAAACTATTATTCCAACTCCACAAACTAGACTGAAAAGTAGATTAAAGAAAATGTGTGGAACACCGTGGTTAAAATGTTTAGATTTGGTAAAGTTGTACATGAGAATTACACCCACACAAGAAGGATTAACACCATTTGAAATAATTCATGGCAGACCATACAGATTACCAATATTTTCTCCAGATTTGCAACATGCAGATGAGGAGCAAACACAGGCAGATTACATGATCAGGACTCTGAAACAGAAGAAGGTGTCAAATGCAAATTTACTGCCCTCTGACTCTCCTCTCCCGCAGGAAACCACTCCCACCAAGCCAGGAGACTGGGTGTTCATCAAAGTCATAAAGAGGAAGAGCTGGGCCAGCCCGCGGTGGGAGGGACCATTCTAAGTGCTGATAACGACTCCAACTGCTGTAAAGATTGCTGAACGACCCAGCTGGATTCATCTCAGTCACTGTAAGTTACAGAGAGTGTTGGAAGCCTAGGTGGGAGCAGGTGGGAGTCCACCTTCACAGGGGACTGGCTTTTTAGGGTCACTCGTCTCAACGGTGGTGAAGAAATCATCAACCCCCTGTTCTATAGAGTCCTGGGTAACTTCTAACATCTCTGCAATCTGAGCAGCAATGGGATTCTCACAGGCCAGGTGGAATCTCTGCTGCGCTGTGACTGCAGCATGTTTTTTGTTCTGGAGTGGAAGCTGCCTCAGCCTCCACAAGATAAGGAGAGAAGCACAAACATTCTTCCCCCAGTCTCATCCACATGACTACAGCACTAACCTGTGGTGGCAACTAATGAACAGGACTGCTCATGAGGTGAACGAGGTGAACTGCTGTGTGTGTGCACAGCTGCCCTACGCCACACACAACTCAGGCCTTCGACCAGGAGCTGCCGCTAAAGAACTTTTTGGAGCTATGAACTGTTCACTTGCTGCTGATGTTCTTCCATTTCCACAGACTGTGATGAAAAACCAGAGACCATTTCCTTGGCAGGAGCCAAACCAGGGTCTCTCAGGAACTGCATTTACAACAATGGAACTAGAACCCTGGGAATGCTCCCATGGAACCTGTGTAACACAGTTTACACCTTCTGCGAAACAACACCGGAATCCATCGACTGCATCGCCTGCAGAGGTCAGGAGCCAACCTCAGGCTGCAGCATCTGGAACGACAATCCAGACTGTCACGATTTGCTTCAGGAAAGGAGGTTCGTTCGACATCACTCTGCAGACGAGAGGACGACAGGAGACAGCTTGTTGCAGCACCATAGTGCCAGGAGACTATGGTCAATAGGTGATGGCTGACTGGTACTTCCTGTGTGGACATGGAGCTTACACGTTTTTGAAAACCGTGTTGTGTTGGCTTTTCTCACAACCTCTCAAAGAGGCGTCTGCAAGATCATAGGTTCAGTATGAGATGAAAGAGGAACTGGTGGAACTATTCATGATGCCCTGCATGATTTGGAAGAGCTTAAGAACTATGTGGACAGTGCAACTCAGGGCTCACAAACTTTTGACTTTCTTTCTTGGCTGACCTACAGACTCTGGTGGCAGCTTTTGTTTAAGATTGGAACACCCATCTTGACTGGACTGATCCTATTCTGTCTGTTCACAACCTGCATCATTTCATGTTTTCAAAGCATGCTGTTAAAGACATTTAACACTGCTCTGCTCAGCTATCAGTTGGTCAGAGTAACCTCTGACACAGATGAGGACTACATGTTGCTCCAGAAGAAAGAAGATGACTGGAAAATGAGTACATGAGATGATGTCTTGTAAATTAATAAACAGATTGAATCATTTGCTTGATGACTCCTACACTGAAAATGTGAAAACAAATAGTGTTAGTGATGATAACTGCACTTGATTTTCTGCTGTTTGTTTGTTTTTGGGTTGTTTTTTTCTGTGTTCTCATTCTTACATTCAACATTATTATATTATTAACAAAACATTATATGCATTTGGTTTTTAATGTTTCTTTTTTATTTTCTTTTTTCTATCCTTCTTATATTATATATTATGTATTCTACAACTCTTGTATAACATGTGTAATCCATTCTTTTTATTTTTATACTATTTTTTGCATAGTTATTACATAAGAATTATAAACAGGGGGGAATGTTAGAATAATTATGTTTTGTTATCATTCTTACATTGGTAGCTATAATAGATTTATTATTCACATCCCTGAGAAAAGCTCTCATACTTGTTAGACTTTGGAGCTGCAGCCACTTGTATCTTCGGGATACTCCTATCTGCCTCCCTCCACATTCCTTTTCTACTTTGTAATAAAAGAGAAAGCCCTAACAAAGGGTCTTCAGAGCGCTCAGTGAACGGCTGGAAGCAGCGGTTTGCTGGGTTGTCTCCTTTTGCAAAAGCTTTCATAAAATTCACTTGCGTTGTCTGTTTGTTCTTTTATCTAGATTCACAAATACCTATCAAGATTCACCTGTTAATAACATAAAATAGAAATAAAACTGTATTTTATTCTGTAGGTGATAAATTGTACAAATTTGTCATTTGTAAAATGGATGATAAAGTCTAACAACTGGTTGGAGGAAGAATCTGCAATAATGCTTTTTTGTGTCGTGCAGTATTTAGCAATCTATCAAGTGTTCAGCGATACACTAACAGTTAAAGCCTGATCTCCATCTTTCTACATTCCTCTCTTCTTGGTTCTTTCAGCCTGGAATAAATGAAACCAACTGAGTTTATGTGTCAAGACTTAGAATGATTAGCCTCATCACAGTCAGACATCTACTGATGTTATAATCTGATACTGAAATAAATTTACATAATATCTTATAGCAGGTAATGGACAGAAATCTGGTTTCACCAGGATTGAGGACATTTTACCTGAGAGTTTCCAGGTTGCAGTTTGGACTCTTCAGTCCAGCAGAGAGAAGCTTCACTCCTGAATCCTGCAGGTTGTTGTTACTCAGGTCCAATTCTCTGAGACTGGAGGACTGGGAGCTGAGAACTGAGGACAGAGCTTCACAGCTTCTCTCTGAGAGGTTACAGCCACTCAGTCTGAGGAGACAGGGAGGAAAATATGTTATTAATCCATCAAATGTTTGTGTTACTTTACAGTCAATAATATTCTTCTTGGACTGATTGAAGAATAGGTCATATTTTTCTAAACTTTATGATATCTTTATTTTGAACTTCTTTATTCTTTAGTTGGGACTCAAGACTTGAAGATCTGAACTACAGGCAACAAGGAGGCAAGAGAAATATTAAAATCTACAATAATCTGCATTAATTCAGTGACACTTTCATAGAAGGTAGAGAATTTCTGCTGCTTCAACATGTAACATCATGAATAGTTGCATATGAGAGTCTGTCTCTCCTTTACTCATCACCTGCTAGCAGCAGACTAGGAAACAATGTACCGATAAATAATCAGTAAATACCAGTAGATGGTTTGGTTTCCTAGGTACATTAAGCACCAAGTGAAAGAATCCTAATGTTTTAATGGGCTGCTGTTTACAAAGTTGTACAGTCCATTTAATCCCAAAGTTGTTTCTGCAAAATAAGAGCATGCATTTCCATCCTTAGACCCCCTAACATATTTATGAATTAATTAGAGGTGAGCTGATTGATCGGCCACCGATCATAATTGGTTGATTTCCATGAAAAAGTATATGATCAGTGATCACCGTCTCCTGTTGTCGATCACATTAATCTCACTTCTCAGCCTGCATGTGCAGCTCATCTCATCTTTCCTTCTCACTGCACAGCAACAAATCCTGTCATGAGGAACTATAACACTCTGATAGTGAATGGGGAAGTTTGTGTATTGCAGCGGGAAATTACCTCACAGGTGAAGCATGTTAAAATCCATCAATAAAAGTAATCTAATATGACATTTAATAAACAAGCATTTGATGGAGTTTAGCTACATTGAGGCTCAATGCAGAAACAAAATGACATCCTGAGCGACCAGACAGCAGGTAAAGCAGCTCAACTACCAACAATCACCTGGATCAGCATCACGGTCAGAAAGATAAACAAATAACCTGAAAAATAATCCGAGTCTTCAAGCTGGTGGTGAAAGACACTGGTTCTGCTCTTGCTGTTGAACCTTCACTATTCATTACTGGTAGTAATATTTTATAAACATAGCGCTCTTCCCACTATTCACTCAGAACCAGCAGCTCCGGGAGGAGAAAGGCTGCTGCAAGTCATTTTAAGGATGTCCATTAGTCCCCCAAAAATGATGAAACCCCAGGCATGATCATCAATCAATAAAATCCCCAAGAGCCGAACTTGAAAATTGGACGTTATGTCACTAACACTTAACTTTCATCAACAACTCAGAGGGAGAAGTCAGAGCTCCGTGTAACTCAAATAATGTTCTGGCAGGAACCAGGTGCAGGGAAAAAAATATATGTTTCATACGAGGCATGTACATTTTTCTTGACGAATTTTAATATTCGAATCATTAGCGGAATCGTTTCAGCCCTACATTTTACACCTATTGATGTTCATGGTATAATCCTCCAGTTTAAAGGACAAAATTATACAATTCCATAAGGAAGTAAGTGAATCAATTTTAACATAAAACAGAGTTCTTTTATTACTTTAATATGTAAAATTATGTCCAGATGCTCAAGGAAATCTGTCTCCCAGAGACACTTTTAAGACACAATGCACTGATAAATAAAATGTAACATAAATATTTACCTCATCAATAGCAGATTTCTATCCACATAACTGCAATAACAATGTGTGTCCTTACAGAGCTTTGTTGGAGGCTTTAACCACTGGCAGCAGCCTCAGAAGAACCTCCTCTGAAGCAGAGTATTTCTTCAGGTCAAACACATCCAGATCTTTTCCTGATGACACTAAGATGAAACCCAGAGCTGACCAATGAGCATTAGACAGTTTATCTGTGGAAAGACTTCCTGAACTCAGAGACTGTTGGATCTCCTCCACTAGAGAACGATCATTCAGTTCATTCAGACAGTGGAACAGATTGATGCTTTTCTCTGCAGACACATTCTCATTAATCTTCTCTTTGATGTACTGAACTGTTTCCTGATTGGTCTGTGAGCCACTTTCTGTCTTTGTCAGCAGATCTTGTAGGAGTCTCTGATTGGTCTGCAGTGAAAGGCCCATGAGGAAGCGGAGGAACAAGTCCAGGTGTCCATTTGGACTCTGTAAGGCCTGGTCAACAGCTCTCTGATGGAGAGACTTTAGTTTAGGTTTATTAAATAATGAAGATTTTTTAGATGTTTGCGATTCTTTCATCAGATTGACACCAGAGTTGATGAAGGTCAGATGAACATGAAGAGCAGCCAGAAACTCCTGAACACTCAGATGGACGAAGCAGAACACCTTGTCCTGGTACAGACCTCTCTCCTCTTTAAAGATCTGTGTGAACACTCCTGAGTACACTGAGGCTGCTCTGATATTGATGCCACACTCTGTCAGGTCTGATTCATAGAAGATCAGGTTTCCTTTCTGCAGCTGATCAAAAGCCAGTTTTCCCAGAGACTCAATCATCTTCCTGCTCTCTGGACTCCAGTGTGGATCTGTTTCAGCTCCTCCATCATACTTGACCTTCTTCACTTTGGTCTGAACCACCAGGAAGTGGATGTACATCTTAGTCAGGGTTCTGGGCAGCTCTCCTCCCTCTCTGGTCTCCAACACATCCTCCAGAACTGTAGCAGTGATCCAGCAGAAGACTGGGATGTGGCACATGATGTGGAGGCTTTGTGATGTCTTCATGTGGGAGATGATCCTGCTGGCCTGATTCTCATCTCTGAATCTCTTCCTGAAGTACTCCTCCTTCTGAGGGTCATTGAACCCTCTGACCTCTGTCACCATGCCAACACACTGAGGAGGGATCTGATTGGCTGCTGCAGGTCGTGTGGTTATCCAGAGGAGAGCAGAGGGAAGCAGTTTCCCCTGATGAGGTTTGTCAGCAGAACATCCACTGAGGTGGACTCTGTAGCATCAGTCAGGATCTCCTTGTTGTGGAAGTCCAGTGGAAGTCGACTCTCATCCAAGCCATCAAAGATGAATAGAACCTGGAAGTGTTCAAAGCTGCAGATTTCTTTGGTTTCACTAAAGAAGTGATGAACAAGTTCCACCAAGCTGAACTTTTTCTCTTTCAGCACATTCAGCTCTCTGAAGGTGAATGGAAATATGAACTGGATGTTCTGGTGGGCTTTGTCTTCAGCCCAGTCCAGAGTGAACTTCTGTGTTAGGACTGTTTTCCCAATGCCAGCCACTCCCTTTGTCATCACTGTTCTGATTGGTTGATCTCTTCCAGGTGGGACTTTAAAGATGTCTTCTTGTCTGATTGTTGTTTCTGGTCTGTCTGGTTTCCTGGATGCTCTTTCAATCTGTCTGACCTCATGTTCATCATTGACCTCTCCAGTCCCTCCCTCTGTGATGTAGAGCTCTGTGTAGATCTGGTTCAGAAGGGTTGGACTTCCTGCTTTAGCAATTCCCTCAAACACAGACTGGAACTTCTTTTTCAGACCAGATTTAAGTTTATGTTCACAAACTGCAGCAAAATATCCTAAATTAACACAATAATGAAAATCAGATATGAAAAAAAATCATCTTTTGAATTTGATTACATCACTAAAGCAAATGTGTAATTTATTTATCATTTCAAAGTTCTTTATAAATCCTCTTACTGGTCTGCAGATGGTCAGCCAGCTTTTCCTCCTTCATCATCCTCAGGAAGTTCAGTGTGATCTTCATCACTGCCTCTCTGCTGCTCCTCCTATGCTCTTCATCATCACCTTCCAACACCTCATCATCTCTCTGACTCTCTGAATGTTCTGGATAATCTGGACTCAGAACCTTCTGGATCTTCTTCAGTTCTTCCTTCACAAAAGTAACAATGTTTTCCTCCAGCAGCTGGAACAGAATAATAGATTAAGGAAACATCAGAGTGAAATCATGGAGCCAAACACCAGATGGATGTTGGACAGACTGACAGTCCTCTGGTCTACAAAGTGCAGCATGAAGGTGACTTTGAACAGAACTCAAGGAAAAGTTGTTGTTCATATACAGACCATAAATATGGAGTCCAGCTGTGTTTGATGGTGCTGGACAGATGGACCCCTGGGAACCTCTGAGCTCTGCTGGTCCACTCTGTGGAGGAACCAGGAACAATTAGGAAGTCAGGAAATATTCATCCAGCAGTTAACAGATTAAATCATCAAAAGTTTCACAATTAAAGCCCTAAAGCAGAAAAATAGACCGTCACATAAACACAATACAAAGACATTAAAAATAAGATGCAATACAAAAATGATGTAAAATAACACCAGAATCATCCAATAGACATTTTAAAAGGTTGATTTTGAATTTGGACTTCAAACAGTCCAAACTGTCAGTAGATCTGATGCTGGTGGAGACAGTTTCCCAGAGCTCGGGGACAGTGGAAGTGAAGGCTCTGTCCACACAGGTCTTCAGGACAGTGTGGGACATCCATCAGGTTCTGATGACTAGATATGAGGTGATGTGGACATGGAGGAGGTCTGAAATATGTGGGTGTGTCCATGTGGGATCCTCTCCTGGATGTTGTGGTGGGGATTTTAAAATGGATCCATTAGATCCCTGGAATCCAGTGAGCTCACATTTTATCTGTCCACACAGAGACAATCAGAAGGTAAAGGTCCATGAAGTGATATCTGGTTGTGAGCAGTGAACCAGGTGATCTAAGTAGTAGTAAAGATTTAATGTTCCTGCTGATCCCATTAAGAACCAGCAGAACCTCTGATGGTCCACATCAGCTCAGTTTGGTTGAGTTCCAGCAGATCTTGTCATGTTGGGTTTGAGTTTCTTTACCCACATGCAGGTTTAGACATCAGACCGGAAGGTTTTTGATTCAATGATTTATTTACAGTTATTATTGAATATATTGAGCCTAAGTTGTCCTCTGGGATCGGGAGCGGCTGGGCGGCTCAGGTACTGCTTGGAGAGGGGAGAGGTTAGTAGGAGCTGGAGTGAGAGGAACTTGAGAGGAACTTGACAGGAAAGTGGAGGGAAAGGCTTACAGTTCATCTGATGGAGGAATGCCGAGGAGAAGGTATCCGTTAGTGCAAAGGCTCCGAGAAGGTTGCGGGGCTCGCGCGGCAGACGAGAGCGTTCAGTCCGGTGGGCAATCGGTGTCAGTGTTCGGGTGGGCGTGGTTCCTAGCTGGGTCCAGGCAGTGCATCCAAAATCAACAAGTGGGACCATCGAGCGATGAATGGCTGATCCACCGCTTCTTAAGAATCCTGCAGCCGATTTCAGAAATCCGCTTCAGGTGCATCAGCCTGCCAGAACGCTCCCACGAAGATCGTCTATTCGGAGGAGCACTCACACCAACTTGAATCCTAACAGATCTCACCAACCACATCATGAAGCTTTCCTTCCCTGAACTGCTCTCACAATGCACACAGGAACCAAGTCCTGATGGACCAGAATGGCTTTACCAGGTATTTCCAGTGGAAATGTGATCCACTGTTAGTCTGACATGGAGCCAGGAAGCAACAGAACATCATCATCAACATCCAGAGATAAAGATGTGAAGGTGTTTTCATGAGAACAGAGCAGCTGATTTCTGTAGATAATGGATCAAACCTCTGGAAATATAACTGGAAACATCTGAGTTCTTACTGGTTCAGTTTCCATAGTTACAGCAACTAGATACAGCTCACCTCTCTGATGATGGAGATCCAGGAGATTTAAAGTGAATGGGAGGATCCATTGACACGTCAATTTTAAAGGACACACAGCTGGGTTCTGGTTCTGGTTCTGGTTTGAATCTCTGATGGATCCTGATAGAAAAACATCCATTATAAATTTTCTGTGGAGGTTTGATTTAAAGATCATTTTTATTTTGTCTCCTTGTAAAATAAAGAGGTTTGAGACACAACAGAACTTCATCAACTTCATGTTCTAATTGATTCCCATCAGAACCGGTCCAATCCTCCAACACATTCCTGATCATTGATCCTCCTACATAATGTCCGTCTTTTTAAAGAGCAGAAAGATTTGTTTCTGAGATTTTGGGTGATGGTTAAAATCGGAATCACAAAATCCATGTAAACATTTTTCTTTCAACATTAATCATTCATCAGATTTAAACAACAATATTAATATCAACCTAGACATTAAATTCACTTCTTTCTTTTGGTTTGTATCTTAATAATATTTGATGAATTAAATGTGCCTGTTTCATTTGGAAAAATTAAGTTGATGCAAAACAGAATAAAATGCAGTTAAATGTGAGGTTCAAAGGTCATGTCAGCATAATAGTTTTATGTCCTGATTGAGGATTTTCTTGTTCTTTATATTTTACATTTAGAGGTTAAAGCAGAAAAGTGAGTTTATTCTGGTTGGATATTTTGTTTCCTGTTATTCATCAGCAGTAATGTTTCAGTTCTGGTTGCCTATAGAGAGGATTATCACTACATGAATGATTGTTTATTTAATATCAGGGAAACATCTGGAAATCAGATGGGATTTCTAGACCTATGTTAACTAGATGGACCTGAAAAAACTATGGATAGAGACTGTGGATCTAAACGGACCTGATTAATACTCCAAAGATCTTTTATTAATTTACCAACAATTCAGTTCGACTTCATTGCAGCCATTGGTAGCCAGTATGAAACTGGTTGTCGTAAGTAATACTTAAGTGTTGATCCATTGTGGCTTTGTTAAGACGTGCTGAGCGGTTAATTTTCTACCTGTTGATTGCATGTAAAGTCAATCCAGAGATCTTCTTGTTGTTCAAATTCATTCCAGTCAGATGAATAATTTGTGAACAAATCCCAATTACTCCAGTATTCATGGCAACAGCGTTAACAATGACTCTGCCACAGCAGTCAATAACTTGTATGCCTTTCAAGGTTCAACACCTGTTAACTCTTGGTTCTTATACTGGAGGCCATTGTCCCATCTAGTCACCAAAAAACCCAAAATATACATATATAGAGACCAATAAAGTCCATGATACAAAGTTCCTAAGTTGATTATTAGACCATGTAAGCATAGAGACATCAATGTCATTGATGTATGACATATAAAAAGAAAATAATCTAAAGTCTAATATTCCCATTAAACAGAACTTATCATCACATGGCCACAATAACAGATATAAATAGAAGTTACAGCAGTTAGAAACAGCTCACCTCTCTGATAATGAGGCTCTAGAATATTTAAATAGAATGGCTTCGACCTTTGACCTGTTGCTCTTCAAGGACACACAGCTGGGTTCTGATTCTGGTTTTGGTTCTGGTTCTGGTTTGAGTCTCTGATGGATCCTGACAGAAACATGATGATTAAAACTTAATCAGCAAAGAGGAGCAGCAGCAGCTTCATCACCACGTCTGTTCTGGCCTGATATAGTGAACGCTGTGTGAAAAGGGCTGTGGACAGTTAGAGATGGTGACCTCACCTCTGACCTTTGCTCTGGCTCTCATCTTCCCCACACAGAGTGGTTTTAGAGGGAGGGACTCCCTCCTCTCTGTCCTCACACTGATCCATGCTGCTGAATCCACATCAGCTCACACACACTTTCTAGCTTCACCTGCAGAGGAAACACACATCATTCATCTGCACATCAACTCTGATCATCCTTTACATCATTAGTGCTGGAAAAAGATCAGCTGCTCCTCCTCTGATTGGCTCTTCTTCTCTGCTTCATATCAGTGTCAGGTGAATGCAGTCAGACAGCAGAGAGGCAGAGGAAGCTGCCATCAGCTGCTGCACTTCTACTATCAGTCCACTAGAGTCAGATTCAAGCCTTTATCACGTTTGATGGGAATTAGAGGAATTTGGATTATTTAGTAGGTTGCCCGAGGCATTGTCTCATCAGTGGCGGAGCTAGACTTTTTTTCAAGGGTGGCCAAAGGTGAGCAAGGCTTTATCAGAGGGGTCCACATACAAATGGACCGTTCCATGGAACGAAAGGAAAAAATATTTGTTTCCTTTCGTTCAAAATTAATTAATATAACTAGTTAGATTATAATTCAAAGCTTTCATATGACATAGCCTACTTACATTTCAGTCATTATAAAACTTAATGGTTTTTCACATATTCTTACCACAGACATTTCAAGCAAGAGCTGGGAGATAGAAAACGTTACAGGGCAGCATGTCACTAAAACATATGTTAAAAGAATCTGTCTAAAACACGATCTATCAGCACTAGCATAGCTAATATAATAAACGAGGCACTATGCAGCGGTACACAACCATTTTTTTTTCTTTTTAGAAATGTATGACAAGTGCCGCCTCTCATTAGGAAGGTAACAGCGGTTACAGCTGAGCGGTAAAATGTTGTAAATACCTGCAAAACTCCTGACGGTGTAACTCTAAAGCCGCGGATGTGTTTTGGATCAAGAAGGAACCAACATGTCAGTTTAACCAATGAACAGCGTCGGGCATCTAGCTACCTTCAGGGACAATCGGAAATTACAGTTTTCCTGGCAAATCTTTGCCGATCTCATAAGTGTTATATTTTAAAATGACCATTTCCAGTGGGTGGCAGTAGGGGTGGCCAGGGGTCTGTTGGGGGTGGCAAGTGCCACCCCGGCCACCCCTCTGGCTCCGCCACTGTGTCTCATGGTTTTAGCGACATAGTGGGTGTAAAATATTGAATAAAAGTATTTCATAAAATGCTCCATGACTGGCTTCATTTTTCCAGTACATTTAACTTTATGACAAAGTTTCAAGTGGATTGTCCATATTGTATCCAAGAGTCTTCTTGGTGAAGCTTCTTTCCAGCCGTCCATGATTCACTTGGCAACAGATGGCTAACTAGCTAGAACATTTTTATGGACTACGTTGATATGAGTGGAGCTCCATGGAGCGTCAAAGTGAAAATGATGGAAAAAAAGGGAGCAAGGAAAAATGAAAAACTGGATGCATATTTTGTGTGTTTTTGTTGGCAGTGATTCAGGCCCGCACAAAACTGCCAATTCAGTGAAGGAGTTGGATTAAAAAGCTAATATTCTGACTGAATCAAACACATTTTAATATTTTATATTGAAAGGAAGCAGCAGGAAACTGTTGCATATGATTTTAATGGTGGAGAGCTCTTTTACAAAAGTCTGATTCAGAAATCCAGGATGAGAGATAAAGCCAATCTTGACACAACGCCATCAGTTCATTCTAGTTTTATCCATTTCACAAAAACAAACCAAACTAAGGAGTTGTGACTCACTTAGTTTGAGCCAGGCCTAAATAAATCAGATGACTATATGTTAACAAATGTCTTAAAGAAACCATGAGTTCGCTCACAGGCTCACTGATGCTATAATAGATCATTTCCATTCACCAAACCTCACACCAAACAAATAACATCTTTTGATGGAAGATTATGAGGAATTGAAGAACATCAAACTCAAGGCAAAACAACTGTTGGTACAATAGTAACCAATAGTGGATTGAATGATTGAAGGCATAATTTGCTCAAAATGTACATTTTCAAACAATTTCCTATTAAAAATCATCATAATCAGCCATTTGCTCAATTTAACAACTTTAAATTCATAAATCAGAAAGTCAATATTATAATGTGGGGGCCTGATAGTGTTTATTTATTTGTCTTTTATGCTTTTATTCTCCTATTATCTTCCTCATCTGCTGTGCGTTTTGCTCTGTGTTTTGCACCATCACTTTTGGATCCTCTCTTTCATATCTTTCAAATTGTAAACAATGGATCTGGGTTTGATGAGGAGAATGAGCAAAGGAGAGCCTTTTTTACCCAACAGGATATTTATACATAATGAATCCCTGGGGGAAGTGGAAGACCCTCCGTCTGTCCATATTGTTGGTTGAGGATTTTAAGATGTTATATAATTAAATGTATGATAACAGGATTTCTGCTTTTTGGGCTTGTCAGTTATCTGGTATATCATACAATTCAGAAAACATTGGCAGCTGTTCTGCCCATTGAGAGGCTGCCTGTCTTATACAAGGAAATGCCTTGCTGTGAACATTCAGACTCACATGCTGTGTGAGCAGAACCACAAACAAGAACTGGTTCTTACTGAGAGGAACAGTTCAGTTGCAGTTCCTGAAACCTCAGGAATAAACCTTGGAGAAATTGCAAGCTCAGCTCAGCAGAACCGATCATAAATTTGTCTGTCTGGAGTTGGCATTGAGGTGTAATAGTGAGAACAATTATTGTCATCTGAGTCTGGCTCCCCACTGAGATGCTGGCGTCGCCGGCTCCCCTCCCTCAT